TCTTGAAAGTAGGGAAGGTCATACTCATTTGAACATGAACATTCAATCTCCTGACATTTCAACTGTCCTTGAAGACCAAGCACTAGCGCCAAAAACAGAATTTCATAAGTATCCCATAATCCTCAGCTTCTTCCTTCAACCAAATTTGTTGTTGTTGCCTGGAGAGCCAGGTAGATGCTACGAGGCATGCCCTCTTGCGAATATATTGGCTCGTTCCTGATACTGTTACAAGTATTGGCACCGAATGTAATGCATTTTGTAATACAATTGGCATTGACTGGAATCCTTTGGGTAAATGCATTGACCACATCGAACTTCAGAAATCTTTAGAGTCATGGCAGAGACGTTTGCGCTGGCAAATTTCGAAATAATGAAGAAGACTATAAAGAAAATTGTAAAATCAGACTAATCCCTGTATTCTATGCAGAACTTCAGGCAAATTGAAAATCTTTCTCCATAGAATTATTAGCTTTTCACTACATATCTTTGCTTTTATGGCTACAAATGTCAAGCAATCAATCTTTACGTCCTCTCTTAAGATGAAGCTATCGATTTATCAATTTGATGTTTAATGTTATCATTTACCCAGTATAAATACACACGCGTCGTTGTGTAATGCTTATTGAGGGCGTCCTGTAGACTTTTGTCCCTTAGTAATGAGTTCGAGCCTCGCTGGGCACCCCACCCATTTTTCTTCTTTAAATGCGAAACTAAACTAACATAAAATTAAACACACACACACACACACACACACACACACACACACACACACACATATATATATATATATATATATATATATATATATATATATGCACAACATTAGAAAGATTTTAGAGTTCCATGAAAATAAGTGGATACAACGTTTAAAAACGCACTATCCAGCCGGGCTAAACCATAAATTTAACAATACAGATAGTATTAATATATAACCCTACAAATCAAAACCTACCAACATTTCTCACCCACACAAGACAGACATGATTACGGGGGTGTTGAGGCCTCACACTTATACATACACCCACACGAATATACATACTTACACACATCATACTCACTCACTCACTCCCTAAGAACCAAATGACACACACTTAACAGAGACACACCCCCTTTCCAGGAACCAATAAAACTGTCAAAATGACCACGGGAATTCAGAGCAGCATGAATCCATCCAGCTCTTATCTCAAATAACAACTTAATAGAGACTGTTTGACCAACACAAGAACTGACCAAAATTCATGTTAAAGAAATAAATAAAAAAAACAGATGAAAACAACAGACAAAAGTTAATTTTCTCCATCCAGACATTTATTTCTGTAGTTCACTGCTACCAGCAAGCAGAAAATTATTTTTTTCCTGATGCTGGGCATGTTGGCCGAAACTAGTCGAGGAATCTAAATGAAATAATAATAAAAACGAATGAATATTAATATACAACCCAGTGTGTCTGAAAATTTGAATTTTTAATATGTGAGGATAGCGTAATCGTTGTCAGCGCTGGGATGTGAAACGGTGAACAGAGTTCGATTTCCGGTTTAGGATTGTGTTTAATTTATTCTGACGCCCTTGGAATTAATTGAATTAATTTTATCTTAGCCCTACCAGCCTGCCAGAGTTCTGAATCGAATATTTTCATTGCGATGTCATTATGGTTAGGGGAAGAAGTAAATGGAGGAGAAAATTTATGGCAAGTCTCTCTCCTATTAATCAAGCAAATGATAATGACTATAAAAGACTTACAGCTTGTTATTTTTCGTTTAGTCTTGTGTCTACTAGTACTGAAATTGTAACTAGTTGACAAAGTCAACCATCAAAATCATTATTAATCTGCAAACAAACAGATATTATCGATTTGGAAGAATAGTGCTTTGTATATTCATTACTTAATAACAGGAACCACATTTTCATATTTTCTCATATATATATATACATATATATATATGACCTCACACATTATGAAATGGACAAAGTTCGAGAAATTTTTTATGTTTATACGTTCTTTTCATAGATACAAACATTTAAGTAAATGTTTATAATGTTTATAATAAACAGTACCAGCCTGAATATCCGAGAAATTTTCATAGAAAATATGCATCCTCTGTATCCTATACGGAACCGTCATATAGCCTGGCGTGCCTTTACCGATTGAGCCACAGAGGAGCGTTCGGTTAGCAAGGTCGATTTTACTGTATTTAAACACAATTCTACATGATTTTCTCTCATACATTCATAATGTGTGACGTCATTTGTTTACATTTGAATATGCATTGAGCAGATATTAGTACCCTGTATATTCATCTTGGGTGTTAGCATAAGATTGGGAAAATGTTGAACACCACACCGAGGTACATTCTTTCACATTTGAGCCTGTTAATACAAGTCAATAAAAACAAGTAGCCCAATCATCTCATGCATAATTAGTAAAGTACTGGTTTGACAATCGCTTCGTTAACTATTTTGAAAGGCATGTCGAGTATCATGGCCTTTGAATGGGCAGGCATTATTATGCTGGGAAAGCACACCGATTTCATTTGTTAGAAAATCAGTCGAATCAGATGAATTAGGTTTGGTTTGTGCATGATGCAATTTTAGTTTCCATCCCCAAACACTAAGATTTTTACTTAGTTGTCCTAGTATCCTTAAAGTGTTTTCTCATAGTGGACTAAGGCAGACATTGAACGTAGTGATAATTTGATTTGCATTGATTGATTCGATTTTTATGGCTTATAAATACTTTGAAGGTTATTTAAAGCCAGAAAATAGTTTTAAATTGTAAGAATTTTTTTTAGATGATAATGATTTAGTGATACAAGTCTAACTAATTAATCCTTGGCTGTGCGTAGGAAAGCTAGATATATACCTTTGCAAAGGATATTTTCGCGTAAGCGAATGCAACAAACATGATTAGAATTGGACCTCCGCTCTCTGATTAACAATTCTACGCCATTATCCATTATACCACCCACACATCCAAGCTTATGGCACCTAATATTTCCAAGCGGTCACATCACCATGGACAGTTTCTACAAACGCCTTGTTCTCATAAGAGGAAAACAGTAAGAATACTAGAAAACTGACTAAAATTTTCCTTGATTTTCATTTTCAATGAAACATGTATAAAACGAAGATTGCTCCGCCTATATAAATAAACATATATTTTTGCGTGTGTGTGTGTGTATGTGCCTGTCTGTGAAAGTTCTCAAAACATATCTGCAGAACAGACTAATCGAGTAAAATAGACAATAGACAATAGGAAAACAGTACTTAGTTTTTGCCCACTAGTTTCGTCATCCGACTTTATCAAGGTAAGTGATGATAACCAAAAGCGAAATGTTGTATAGTTACTGGAACGTCCAAAAAAGACTTTCGAATGAGCGGCTTTTAAAATTTTCGAATTTCGAGTCACTATACAACATTTCGCTTTTGTTTATCATCACTTGCCTTAATAAAGTCGCGTGATGAAACGAGTCAGCAAAAGCTAAGGATTGTTTTCCTACTGTCACACACACACACACACACACACACACATACATACATCACGGGCTGCGACATCACGACCTCCGATGCGATTTTCGCTTCCGCGTCTCGTATCCACGAGTTTGTCGCTGCTTTGAAATTATTATTTTGTCCGCGTATTTTTTAATATATTGAAATGTAATTGTCATCTTTGATAATGGCTTATGCAAGCCGAAAGCTTAGATAGAATTAAAACATATATCAATATGGTGATTTCCTTTCGTCTTCCAATGATAATGTTATTAAGCTTATCAGACAATATGAAAGGAACTTTGAACAGTGAAAATGATATGTAATTGTAAACTATAAAACAGAAACGCACCGGCAGAAAATAACGAAGTTTGAATGATGGAAACATTTTTTTCTTTCTTTATGTCATTTCCTTAATTGGAATGATGTGCACGGATTAGACAGAACTTGTGTATATTATTTAATGAAATATGCATCAATGAAAAATTGCTGCCTAAATACGCACAATAAACACACATATACATATATATATATATATATATATATATATATATATATATATATAAATAAATTTATATATATATATTCTGTTTATAAGTTATTTTATAGATATAATTTATTTAAGTAAATGCTCTGTTTTTTAATTAAATAATGTTAGTTGCATTTACCGGCCTGAATGTTCGAGAAATTTCATAGAAAATAGGCACACATCGACAGGAATCAAACCTGTAACCGTTATAGGAACAGTCATATAGCCTGACGTGCTATTACTATTCAGTCAGAGAGACGCGTCTGGAAAAGTCCGAATTATTATGTATTTGTGTATGCATGCTTATGTGTAACCAAAACATACGCTGTTGTTACGAGGCACTAGTTGTTATTCTTATTCTTCTTACTTTATTATATTTTGGTTCATCAATTTATTGTATACAACTATTTGAGATTTTTACTTACTTCCTGATATCTTTGATTTTTGAACAAAGATAAAAATCCTTATTTCGACTGCTGGCTTTTTAGGTCAAGCGCTACACATTCTTCTTATTCTTAAGTTAATTAACATCTTTAATATTCGTGAGAACAAATAGATTTGTTTTTTACCTGTTAATTAATCCATTAGCTTTTAATTAATTATCTTGCTTTTTTTTCTATTTCGTTCGAAAATGTTAGTTTTCCCTTGACAAGTTTCATTGAATCTAGTCAGTAAAAATCTGGTTAGGTAAGAAAGTAAAGTTTTCGGAAAGACGGAAATAACTTGAACAAGTTTAATATTGTTGGGTGTGACAGTGAAAATGATATGTAATTGTAAACTATAAAACAGAAACGCACCGGCAGAAAATAACGAAGTTTGAATGATGGAAACATTTTTTTCTTTCTTTATGTCATTTCCTTAATTGGAATGATGTGCACGGATTAGACAGAGAAGAGAAGGATAAAAATGAGAAAAAAAAAAGACTTAAGAAAGAAAGAACTGATAATCAAAAAAAGATACAAAATGTGTTAAAAAAGAAATGGACGGAAGTAGAAAGAAAGAAAGAAAGAAAGAGGCATGAAAGAAGAAAAGAAGGGACGATGTAAGAAAGAAAGAAAGAAATAAAGAAAGAAAGAAAGAAAGGGGCATGAAAGAAGAAAAGAAGGGACGATGTAAGAAAGAAAGAAAGAAAGAAAGAAAGAAAGAAAGAAAGAAAGGGGCATGAAAGAAGAAAAGAAGGACGATGTAAGAAAAGAAAGAAAGAAAAGGGCATGAAAGAAGAAAAGAAGGGACGATGTAAGAAAGAAAGAAAGAAAAGGGGCATGAAAGAAGAAAAGAAAGGACGATGTAAGAAAAGAAAGAAAGAAAGAAAGAAAGAAAGAAAGAAAGGGGCATGAAAGAAGAAAAGAAGGGACGATGTAAGAAAGAAAGAAAGAAAGAAAGAGGAATGAAAGAAGAAAAGAAGGGACGATGTAAGAAAGAAAAAAAGAAAGAAAGAAAGAGGCATGAAAGAAGAAAAGAAGGGACGATGTAAGAAAGAAAGAAAGAAAGAAAGAAAGAGGAATGAAAGAAGAAAAGAAGGGACGATGTATAAAAAAAGAAAAAAAGAAAGGGGCATGAAAGAAGAAAAGAAGGGACGATGTAAGAAAGAAAAAAAAAGAAAGAAAGAAAGGGCATGAAAAAGAAGAAAAGAAGGGACGATGTAAGAAAGAAAGAAAGAAAGAAAGAGGCATGAAAGAAGAAAAGAAGGGACGATGTAGGAAAGAAAAAGAAAGAAAGAAAGAAAGAAAGAAAGGGCATGAAAAAGAAGAAAAGAAGGGACGATGTAAGAAAGAAAGAAAGAAAGAAAAAGAAAGAAAGAAAGAAAGAAAGAAAAGAAAAAGAAAGGGGCATGAAAGAAGAAAGAAGGACGATGTAAGAAAAAAAGAAAGAAAGAAAAGAAAAGAAAGAAAGAGGCATGAAAGAAGAAAAGAAGGGACGATGTAAGAAAGAAAGAAAGAAAGAAAGAAAAAGAAAGAAAGAAAAAAAAGAAAGAAAGAAAAGGGCATGAAAGAAGAAAAGAAGGGACGATGTAAGAAAGAAAGAAAAAAGAAAGAAAGAAAAGAAAGGGGCATGAAAGAAGAAAAAGAAGGGACGATGTAAGAAAGAAAGAAAAGAAAGAAAGAAAAGGGGCATGAAAAGAAGAAAAGAAGGACAATGTAAGAAAAGAAAGAAAGAAAGAAAGAAAGAAAGAGGCATGAAAGAAGAAAAGAAGGGACGATGTAAGAAAGAAAGAAAGAAAGAAAGAAAGAAAGAAAAAAGAAAGAAAGGGGCATGAAAGAAGAAAAGAAGGGACGATGTAAGAAAGAAAGAAAGAAAGAAAGGGGCATGAAAGAAGAAAAGAAGGGACGATGTAAGAAAGAAAGAAAGAAAGAAAGGGGCATGAAAGAAGAAAAGAAGGGACGATGTAAGAAAAAAAGAAAGAAAGAAAGAAAGGGGCATGAAAGAAGAAAAGAAAAGGACGATGTAAGAAAGAAAGAAAGAAAGAAAGAAAGAAAGAGGCATGAAAGAAGAAAAGAAGGGACGATGTAAGAAAGAAAGAAAGAAAGAAAGAGGAATGAAAGAAGAAAAGAAGGGACGATGTAAGAAAGAAAAAAAGAAAGAAAGAGGCATGAAAGAAGAAAAGAAGGGACCATGTAAGAAAGAAAGAAAGAAAGAAAGAGGAATGAAAGAAGAAAAGAAGGGACGATGTAAGAAAGAAAGAAAGAAAGAAAGAAAGAAAGGGGCATGAAAGAAGAAAAGAAGGGACGATGTAAGAAAGAAAGAAAGAAAGGGGCATGAAAGAAGAAAAGAAGGGACGATGTAAGAAAGAAAGAAAGAAAGGGGCATGAAAGAAGAAAAGAAGGGACGATGTAAGAAAGAAAGAAAGAAAAGAAAGAAAGAGGCATGAAAGAAGAAAAGAAGGGACGATGTAAGAAAGAAAGAAAGAAAGAAAGAAAGAAAGAAAGGGGCATGAAAGAAGGGACGACAAGAAAGAAAGAAAGAAAGAAAAAAGAAAGAAAGAAAGGGCATGAAAGAAGAAAAGAAGGGACGATGTAAGAAAGAAAGAAAGAAAGAAAAGAGGAATGAAAGAAGAAAAGAAGGACGATGTAAGAAAGAAAGAAAGAAAGAAAGAAAGAAAGGGGCATGAAAGAAGAAAAGAAGGGTCGATGTAAGAAAGAAAGAAAGAAAGAAAGAAAGAAAGAAAGGGGCATGAAAGAAGAAAAGAAGGGACGATGTGAAAGAAAGAAAGAAAAAAGAAAGAAAGAGGCATGAAAGAAGAAAAGAAGGGACGATAAGAAAGAAAGAAAGAAAGAAAGAAAGAAAGAAAGAAAGAAAGAAAGAAAGAAAAAGAAAGAAAGAAAGGGCATGAAAAAGAAAAAGAAGGGACGATGTAAGAAAGAAAGAAAGAAAGAAAAAGGGAATGAAAGAAGAAAAGAAGGGACGATGTAAGAAAGAAAGAAAGAAAAAGGCATGAAAGAAGAAAAGAAGGGACGATGTAAGAAAGAAAGAAAGAAAGAAAGAAAGAGGCATGAAAGAAGAAAAGAAGGGACGATGTAAGAAAGAAAGAAAGAAAGAAAGAAAGAAAGAAAGAAAGAAAGAAAGAACGAGGCATGAAAGAAGAAAAGAAGGGACGATGTAAGAAAGAAAGAAAGAAAGAAAGAAAGAAAGGGGCATGAAAGAAGAAAAGAAGGGACGATATAAGAAAGAAAGAAAGAAAGAAAGAAAGAAAGAAAGAAAAAAAAAGAAAGAGGCATGAAAGAAGAAAAGAAGGGACGATGTAAGAAAGGAAGAAAGAAAGAAAGAAAGAAAGAAAGAAAGAAAGAAAGAGGCATGAAAGAAGAAAAGAAGGGACGATGTAAGAAAGAAAGAAAGAAAGAAAGAAAGAAAGAAAGGGGCATGAAAGAAGAAAAGAAGAGACTATGTAAGAAATGAAGAAGAAGGAAAGAGGTGTGGAAGAAGAAAAGAAGGGACTATGAAAGAAATGAAGAAGTAGAAGGAAAGAAGCATGGAAGAAAAAAAAGAAGTGACTATGTAAGAAATGAAGAAATAAAAGGAAAGGAAGAGGTTTGGAATAAAAGGAGAAGGGACGATGAAAAAAAGAAAGAAAAATAAAAAGAGGCGTGGAAGAAAAGAAGAGACGATGGTAAGAAAGGAAAAAAGAAAGCAAGAAAGGAAGAAACGTAAATAAAAATGAATGAAAAAAAAAACTAATTGGCAAAAGAAACAAGTGATCCCCATAAAAGAGAGAATGTAAAAAAGTTGAGTCTAAGAAATACTGAAAGAAACAAGTAGAACAATTTAGAAAGGTTACAGTTATGGAGATGTTGATGGAAGTGGCGGTTGTTTTGGACAATAAATGTCACTGAATAAATAGACAGTCACACCTTCAATGCCAGATTCAATCTAACTGCTAGGATGATAAGTAAAGGAGACACAGGGAAACAACTCCAAATATAAATCCGAGAATGAATTTCGAAAGAAAAAAAAAACTGGTTGAAACATAAGCAACAAAAAAAAAAGAAGCATAAAAGAATAGAAAAAAGACATTAAACTGAAAGATAAAAATACCTCGCAGGCGAAAAGAAAGAAGAGAAAATAAACTTAAAAAATTTAGAACGAAAATAGATAAAATATATATTTTAATTCAATCAGGGACCTTTATTATGGTTGAGATATTTCATATTTCCTACGTGGAGGTGACTAAGATCTGTGTTCTCGACTAGGCAAAAACCTATTTTTCGTATACTGAATTTCAGTTTAGGTAGGCACACGTTCATATCGAAGTTTACTGCAATATATTCATAATAGCACAATTCACCACACTGATTTCGCATGGCCTTTGCCCGGAAGGATTTAAAATAGTAATAAACTAGTTTAGCCAAAACTTATGCCACAGTGCTTGATAGATAGATAGATAGATAGATAAAATATATATATATATATATATATATATATATATATATATATATAGATAGATAGATAGATAGATAGATAGATAGATAGATAGATAAGTTTTTTGTTATAGACCAGCGTGCGGCATCACTGGAAATAAAGTCTGATGATCCAAAGCTCTTTAAAAGGGCTGTGGTGAAATAATTTATTACATGGAACCTTAAAGTGGTCTGTTTTTATTCATATATATATATATATATATATATATATATATATATATATTTATCTGTGTGTGTGTCCACAGACAGACTGTTTTTGCCTCTATCACATCTCATTAGTGTAGCTAGACATTCTGGAATGGACTTTGAAGATGGAAGCCAAAGTATGAATGTTGGTACCATTACTGAAGGTCTGAATGATTTTTTTGACTCATTATTGCTCATTTGAGAAGACAGTGGGTCTGACACAAAATGATTTTAACCGATTCTCTTTCTAACTAAATAACTCAAAGGTTTTTTCAGTGATTCTTACAGCAAATGGTGTTAAGATGGCTAAACGTCTTATCTGAAAACTATTATCCAATGCGGTTACGCTATTGGGACAATGTTCTGTTGTTAAATCAGGGATATATATATATATATATATATATATATATATATTCGGTCGGATTACTAACACAAAAACAGAGAACGTCTCATATCGAGAATATTTAACATTGAAAAACATAAGGAAAAAAATTAATTATTTTTAATATGTGGAAATCTCCGCTTTTACCTGAAGACAGTCACGAGACCAGAAACACGTGTAGTAAAATTATGGAAAATAAAACATAATATTTTTTTCTAAAAAATAAAAAAACACATTACAACCAAAAACATTTGCGGCCCCTCTCTTCTCTTCTTTTTAATATACATACTTTTCTCTCGTTGGAACAACTACAACATCTTTCTTTTATATATATATATATATATATATATATATATATTGAGGGGTCCACCCCTTTTTTACACAAATGGACTCACCCAGTATATACATATACTAATGCTACGAGAAGACCCGAGGGTAAGACGAGAGTAAAAGAGAGCAAGACCGAAGGGTCGAGTCCAGAGTGACAGAGTAAAAGGTTGTAGGTAACCGGAAGAGTGAGGGGTGAGGTAACAGCGTTGTAGGAGTCACAGTGAGCGAGCACGTAGGCTCAGTAAGAAGTCATACAGCGATACTTCAATACCTAAGACTGTATATATATTTTGCTACTAACCCGTATTCCTAGAACTACTAACCTGCTTTACCAGTTTGTATTATTACGTTAATACATTATTTTCATATATTCATTCCTGGCGATTGTTATTTATTGGTACCGGATTTCAACCCGGAATCCACAACAATATATATATATATATATATATATATATATATATATATATATATATGTGTGTGTGTGTGTGTGTGTGTGTGTGTGTGTGTGTGTGTGTGTGTGAATTTACTAATCCGACAGATTTGTATCACTATAAACGTTATTATTAGATGATACTCGTATTTGTGTAGACGCTCCGTTTATGCATTTAACAGTATATTTATTATTATTATTATAAGATTTCTAGAAATTTCAGGTCGTTAAGTGAATATAAATGAATATACGGTTTAATACATATATAAAATTTGTGACTTTGATGATTGAGGTCATATTCACCACCTCAATTTCAGATTTTCGTAGACGAACCTTTTTGTAATGAAAGTATTTTTAGAAAAGACACAGAAATATATATATATATATATATATATATATATATATATACATAATTATTTATTTAAAAATATATATATATATATATATATATAATTATTTATTTAAAAATATATATATATATATAATTATTTATTTAAAAATATATATATATATAATTATTTATTTAAAAATATGATTCCAACTCGCGACATAAGAGGTCTCATGTTTCAAAACAAGAGCCGAAAACTTCAATATAATTATTTAAATTAAATTGAGTTAAAGTAAGCTCTGTTCCGTCTTCAAGCGAAATTTTTTTGGGGGAATAACGTATTTCTGAAATTTACGTGTTTTAATAATTGAAATCAAAATTTCCATGGTAACAGCTAGGGCGAATTGTTTAAATTGGGTAGGCGAGTGTTAGGTGTTAATAATAATTATCAGTATAGAGTTACTTTCATAGATGTCAAGAGAAAGGTGGGGGTGTCTAAATTTGAAACGGAAGATATATTAACCCTAGTCTGGTATGCTTGTCTATGGAGATTTATTTATTTTTTTTTTTATTTTTTTTTTTTATGAAAGGATTTGTGCATATAAAAAAACTGCCGTAACGTTTGTTTTTTGACGACTTCATAAAGGGTTATCTTTTTTGTAGGGTATTTAAACTATTTATTTGGGCTATGGATTATGAAAGTTATTATATTGTATGCTTGTTTTTAGCTAATTATTCAAACCATGAATCCGATTATGTCGACAAAAACCCTTAACTCATGTCTATTGTTTAATAGATTATTATTATCATTTAGAAGCTTAATAATGTGCAATTTCTCATGGACAAAGGGCATGGGTCATCCCAAGTTTTACATGTTCTAGCCCTGTTTATAATTTTCCATATATATATATATAGTAGGAAGCCGTTTATCCCGCTTGATGATGGTAGCGCCCTGTTTGATCAAAATTCAGCTCTTTGCCTGTGAAACTGAAGGAGCCTCTCCAAGTCAAAGAGCTGATTGATGGTACATGGAGGCCGTGGCATCTTCAACTAAAACTGCGTACATATAAATACAACAAAAAAACAAAGTATTTGTACAACTAACAAAAAACATGTTGACCAAAATAAAAGTTAATAACAAGAAAAAAAAAACAATGAATAATCCCCAAATCATGATAAAGGAGATTTAATAAAACTGGAAAATATCACATAAAAAACGAAATCGACCAAAAGACAGAAACCTACATAAACAGTAAGAAAGAATGTTCTATGCCTAGGTTATTAAGACAGAGCAATTAAGCTTCCCAACATCACGTCTCAGAAAGAGACAAAGTTCGGAATGATACGTTCTGGTAGTCTGGTGAGAATGGTAGCGGCCCGAACTTTACACACATATATATATATATATGTGTGTGTGTGTGAGCGCGTAAGCCTATTAAGTCATGCGCTAGGATTGTCACACGGGTCAATACAATGGCCACATGTTCTATTTCTATGATATCAATGCAGCAAATGCTAAGCTTGCTTGCAAAACCTGTTTTATTCGCGAGAGTAACCATTGGCAAAGGAAGCAAAAATATATCATTCATGGAAGTGGTAGCATTCTGATTTTAACTTTCCATTATATATATATATATATATATATATATATATATATATATATATATGTGTGTGTGTGTGTGTGTGTGTGTGTGTGTGTGTGTGTGTGTGTGTGCCTCTGTGTTACTTGGATTGATATACACTTTATACAGGCCGAAGAGTATGACGGCCAAAAAGTTGTGATGGTAACAGCAAAGGTGAGGAAAATAGCCAGTGTAAATAACTTGTGTGTGAGTGTGCTATCTTCACTTTAAATCAAACCTCCTTTCTCTAACTAGAAATTCTGCTTAGACCTATTACGATAAACGACTACTACATTAGGTCGATTCTAATTGTAAAGATCCATTTTATGTTTATAATATTTTTAATTACATTCCTAGATATTTCACCTGTCTACTTGTTGGGAGATTTGTTGTAGTCTTCTTTGTAAATTCCTACTTCAGATGTAATCCTGTTATTATTTTCGTGTTGATTATTTTCATTGATTTTGAAGTAATTTTCAGAAATTATACATTATGTTTCGATAAATTCTTTTAAATTAATCATTATTAAGTTAGTAGGTAGTATTATGTGTCTAGCTTTACAAGGTTATTTGTGGCAATATTTTTTTGGTTTTGTGGATTTTGTAAGTTTTCCTTTTCGCATTACTGAAGGAGTTTAAATGTAATTTCAACATATTTTCTTCAGGGCTACACATTTTCTGGCATAGTCACCTATTGATATACTGGATTTTATTTTGCTGTGGTGTTGTAAGTATAAATATATGAGGTCATTTTTTATCATGGATTGTTTTATAGACGATTAACAAATTAGTAAATTCAATTGTATAATCAATGTTCATACATATGTAGGAAAGATGTTGATTCGTCTGTTAGAAGATTTGGGAAATATCAATTTCTGCAAATTCTAAGAAAAGAAGTGTTAATACAAAAAATTATTATGGAAAATATTATATAGGAATAAAGTGTCGCTGCCGATACTTGATTTCGAACATAGATCGCCAGTGAGCAAACACAGGCGATCCCATTATTGAATTAAGCGGATCACGTGTCCATGGGAGAAACACATAATTAGGAAAAGTCACGTGACGTCTAATTGATCTCTATTTCCACTCTATCCTCTATTACTATACGGACCGCTATTCTCTACTCTAATCACTATACTATTTCTCTATTCGGTGTTTACTATTCGAGCGAGTATTATCGAGCAAGTACTATTACTGCGAGTGCTGTTCGCAGGCGTCTGACACCAGTATTCTTCAACAGCGTTACTATAGTTGTATCTGCGATTGCAAAGTCTCTACTACAACGAGCATTACGAAACTGACAACGAGTATTCGATGGCATCACAAAAGAAAATGAAGTAACATTGGTTTCTAATACATAAGCAAATAATTATAATTTTAACTATCGGTAGGCAGAAGTTATTTTTTTTTAAAGACGTTTCTTTACGAGCTAGAGACAATACTGTCCGATAAAAGTTGTCGTTTGCATATCGATTTTATACGCTAAATGCTCGGGAATGCCCACATTAAAAAGGCCTTGTGCCACATGACACCCTCGTGGGGGGGTGACTGAATATCGTCGGTCGCTCACTTTCTGAGCGACTGTTCGGTTCAACTCTCTGTCTACGGACGGAGTGGAACCCGAAGGAGGCTACGCCGAAGGGCGGAGTCTCCTTCGGGGAGGTAAAACCGGCCCTGAGCCTGTTTATATGGGTTCAAACGGGCATATTTTTGGGCCGAGCCCACGGGCTCAGGAAACCCACAATAAATAACCGACCTTGTGTCACATGTTGCCCCAGTGGGGGGGACTGAATACTGTCAGTCAGTCGTTCACTTCTGAACTGA